TATTTTGTTTATTTTTTATTTTTTATTTAATTTAATAAAGTAAAATTAGATTTATGTAAATATAATTATAGTAAACTGTAATACAAATAGTAAATTCAGTGACCAAATCGTATAAATTTCGTGATAAAATCAGTGATATGTAAATTCCATATGAATTCCGTGCAAATTCCGTATCCAAACCATATTTTTAGTGATACGGAATTGTGCATTTTTCCGTATCCTATTATGATACGTTATTTCTAAGGAAAAAAATCGTATAAAAACTTTATAAAAAACGTATCCAATTTTTTATAGGGCTGAGTTATTTATAATTCTACATAATGTTGGCCCTATTTTTCGTCGAAACGTCCTTTCGGCGAAATGTACCGTAACCTTTTAGAACTAAAGGAGAGGTGATAGTATTAACGATAAAATAATTTCTAATAATATTCAATATTTTTGACAGATTTTACTTTTTACAAGTTAACCAAATATACAGTAGCTTTCCCTTAACCAATTTCAAAAGTAATTTACATAATTTTGGCCAAAACATTTTCATAGCACAATATTTTTGAAAAATTCTATTCAATATAAATTGAATTCGTATGTTATGCAAAAATCATTTCTGCAAATATTAAAGTTCAATTTTTTTTTCGCAAAAAAAAAAAAAAAATACTGAATCATGTGACATATAATTTTCATACTAAAAATATTCGGTATATGTGCTAAATATATGATATTTTTTTAAAGAAGTAAATTTATATTCGGAATGTTTATTTTTAAATAATTATTTAAAAATTAATAAATTAATTTCTACGGTTTCTTGAAGATTTTCGAACATTCTAATAAAATTGTTTCTAAATATTTATCATGTAAAAATAATTGGACAAATTTTTATATATAATAAAAAATTAACAAAAATAAAAAATTGAAAGCAATTAAAGAAGTGGTTAAATATCGTTTTTAACAACTGAACTTGCTGTAAAATATAAATAAATATGAACATAATTATAATAAAGTTAACACTTGTTATTTAAACAAACTTTTTTTTTTTTATATAAACGAGATTGTTTGAATAAATTAGGCTGTTTTTTTTTACTTGGATTACTTAAATGAATGTCAAACAAAATATAAATAACGATTGGAGAGAAAGTTTTAGACATCTTATAATAAATCCACAACTTTCGTCCAATAATGATTAAACTAAACAGGATAAAATTTCATCCATTTATTTATTTGAAAAAAACATTCACAAAATCATAGTATTGTAGGATAACTCATAGTTTGTAGTATTAGATAAAAAAATAAAATAATCACGTTGATCGACGAATTTTCCGCCCCATAAAAAAAAAGACAGTTCGTAAATTGTCATATCGAATGATCGAAAATGTCGGTCAATTAAATCATAAAACGTCAACCAATCAAAATTAGGAAGCTTAAATGACCAGGTCATTATTGAACGCAATATAATCCTCATCATTGAGAGGACGAAAAAAAGTCTATGACGTAATTAATTCATTTGAATGGCGCCATGTGAAACAATCAAATGTTCATAATTGATGATCAAAAATTGAGTCAAAAAAGAAATTAATAAATTGTTCGTTTATACTTTGCAACCTTTTTTTATTTTTTCTTACGAAAAAAATGACATTAATTTTTCATTCCAATCTTTCAAAAGACCTCTCCTTAATATTGAATAATGCAGACAATTACAATGTAATAATACGGGTTGGTGAAAACCAAAATACAAAAGAATTTCGTGCACATATTTTAAAACTGCACTTCCTGCCCAGTAAAAAGTCCTGTACTGAATTCATATTAGGTTTGTATTGAATTTATACATGAGCCCGTTTGGTACGAAAAATTGGACCATAAATGGGATAAAATTAAAATAAATATGGCCAAATTTTATACCGAATGGGCTCATTTCATAATTGGCCTATATTGGTATAAGAACTTTTTACTGGGCTGTTAATTGGATAACCAAAGAAAATAATATGATTATATTTAAAAAGCCAAATGTTCTTCCAACCGTTTTCGAAATGATTTTAAAGTAAGGATAATTTTTATATTTTTTAAGCTTGATTATTTATTTGTTTTTAATAAAGAAATTATTTTTTATTTTGACTTAAGATATATTTACACTGGTGAGCTCGATTATACTAAGCAATTGGGTGAAGATATTATTGAATTGTTAGTTGCATCCCATGAATTATTTCTTGAAGAGTTATTTGAACAAATTCAAAATTACTTAATTACAAAACAAATCAGCTGGGTTCATGAAATAACGCCTTCATTCTACATAATGTATTTAAATTTGATAATTGCAAGAAATTACAAGATTATTGTTTTAAATCTATCTGCGGAGGGTTCACTACCATTTTTGTCTTCAAAAGCTTTTCTTTCAATAAATAAGGAAATACTTTTTTGTTTGCTTCAAAGAGATGACATACCAATTGAGGAAATTACTTTTTGGGATTATTTAATTAAATGGGGCCTTGAACAAACTCTTGGTCTTGAGAATGAGAATAATGATAAATCTAAATGGAATAATGAGAATTACGAAGCATTAAAGTTGACTTTAAACCAATTTATTCCTCTTATTCGGTTTTTGGAAATTTCTCGTACTGGCTTATTTTATAAAGTCTACCCTTGTATAACTATTATTCCTAATAATATTTATGAGGGAATTGAAAGATTTCTTAATAAAGATGCCTTATCAAAATCTATAACTTTATCGCTTAGTATTAATTTTTCAATCAGAATAGGAAAGATACAAATCAAATATTATCAAAACAATACTTGCAAGAGTAATGATTAATTGGATTAATAAATAGTCGTGATGGAATTAGTAATGAATCTTTTAGAAGAAAATGTAATGGACGAGTAGCAAGTTTGGTCCTAATCAAAATTAAGGATACAAATAAAATTTTTTGGTGGATACAGTTCTATCGGGTTTAGTTTATTAGGAGATGATTATATTGTTGATGGTTATGGTTTTCTATTTTATAACTCATCAGATAATTTCATTTTCTCATTCGAAAATAATGACGAGAAATTAAGTCGGGTAGTAAATGTATCTCAAGCCATAATGGTTCATGATAGTAGTGGATTTAATTTTAGTCGGAGTTCATTGTGTATGAACGGAAATAGTTTACATATTAATAATAATAACAAAAAATTATGAAAATAATTTAAATACACACATAATTTATACCATTGAGAAAATTGAAATCTTTACTGTAGACAATATTTAATATTTTCATTGATACAAAATCACTAATAAAAATCGGATACAATTTAAAACCTCATTAAGAAATACATGCCAGTAAAAACGAGATTTTAATGCCATAAAGAATATTATTTATAAGTTATTGTGCTTTGCAACGATTAATATCACAATTATTAACCAATTATAGCAGATAATTGGTAAAGATTTGGCCACGTAATAGCTTATTTTTGATTTTTTAAAATAACGAAATTATCGGCAATTATATTTAATATACGGAGCACGGTTATCATTATTATTGTTATTTTTTATTTTTATATTATAATCCAATTCTAAAATGCACTTTAAGTTCAAAAGTAATCCCATTATATTTTTAAAAGATTTATTGCAAAGGAGAATTGTAGAGAATGATAATATGCAATTCATTGTTAATTATGGCTACTGTCCATAAGTTTGTCTTCTATCGCAATAAGTTTATATTCTCAAATTTATATTCAAATCAAATACAAATCAATGTAAATAATTTATTTATAAATATTGTTAGTTTAATAAATAAAATATTAAAATATTTATAGGAATAAGTCTCTTTTTAAGTTGTTCAACTCCTTTCAACAACTCTTGAAAAGTTATTGCCATCTTTTGATACCTTTTAAATTGATGTATGATAAGTTATTTCGCTTGTAAAAAGATTATATTTATTTTTATGCTATGTACAAATGTTATTCTATAAAATTTTAATAATTAAACATATAGCGGCCGATTCTTCGTAACTTTTAAAATGTCATAAGGAATTAAATCATATTTTATATATTGTTTAGGTAATGAAAGGTAAAACCAAGGTAATAAAAATTATGGATATTTAATAAATTCGTCAAACTTGAAAGAAAATCAATAATTGTGTGAAATTTAAAAGTATTCAATTATTTATTATTGTTCTGTTAGTTGTAAGTTTATGGGATTTTATTGACCGATATATTTACTGGGATGTTTAAAATCAATATTAGTATTTAGTGGTTTTAATTCTTACTAGCCACCGCAGTATTTTTAATGGCAGTACAATAATTCATTTATTAGATGGAAGATATCAGTCTTTGTCTGATAATCTCTATCTCCCATAAATTTATTAATTACAGTATATTCTGAATCAATATTTACATAGTAGACAATTTTAGAAAACAAATTTTAAGTTGAAATCAATTATTGGAATTCAAAAGGATTATCGTAAAGGAATTAAAGATTTCAATGTCTAAGATATTAAAATATTACTTCGGTTGAGATTATTTAATTTAGTATTCATTAATTACAGTAGTACTTTAAATTGCTAATAATATGATATAGTAGTTCCGGTTACATATTCGTCTAATAATTATTACCGTATTAAATTGTCAAAAAATAATAATTCGAATTATATTAATTGAAGTGTCTAAATCCTTAATTAGATTGATCGAATTCTTAAAAAAAAATACAAATCTAAATTTTAAAATTTTCTAAAATAAATTATCGATTAGATGTGATAAAGATCCTAATTTTGCCAATTATATTACTATTACACGTATTTAAATTATTTAACATGTAAAATTTTATTATTCATACTCAATAAACCATTACCAAAATTAAATCCACAACGATTATCTTTGAATATTGCTTTAAAACGACTTGTTTTCATATTTTGAGTAACTTTACTATCTTTAAATGAGAAAATAAAATTATCGACGACTTGTAAAATCGATAACCATAAACATTATTAATAACATAATTATCTCTTAAAGAATTAAAACCAATAAAAGCTATATTATCCACCAGAAATTGTTGTTGATTGTTTAACTTTTAATTAAAACTACACTTATTATTTGACCATTACATTTATTTTTAAATAAACTATTATTAATTTCATCACGAATACCACGATAAAATGCTTAAACTGATTGATATAAAGAATCATTTCTAGTATGACGTTTTTATCGATTCAATTAATTATTATATTTGCAAGTTTTATATTTGATTTGAATATTAAACTAGTTTTAGGTAATAAAGTTGTAGTTTAGATAAAAAATTTTTATAATGAATTTCTAATAAGTATTGTCAGGAATAATAGTAAGAAAGTCATCATTAAGAATTTCCAAAAATAGAACAAGAGGAGTAAATTGGTTTAAAGTCAATTTTGATGCTTAGTAATTCATTATTCCATTTGGCTCTATCACATTATTCTCATTCCCAAGACCAGGAGTTTTGTTCAATACTCACTTAATTAAATAATTTCAAACGATAACTTCTTCAATTAATAATTCACAAGCAAAAAGTATTTCCTTATTTATTTGAAAGAAAAGCTTTTGACGAAAAAATGTTAATAGAATGTTGCGGATAGATTCAAGACAATAATCTTTTAATTTCTTGCAATTATCAAAGTTAAACACAAAATTTTCACGGCTCGTTTTTAAGTAAGTAATTATAAACAAATCCAAATAAATCTTCAAGAAATAATCCATCGGATGTAACTAGCAAACTAAGAATATTTTCACCCAGTCAAAACAAGTTCACCAATGTCAATATATTTAAATTAAATAGTAATTTTTTTTTTTCATTAAAATTTAAAAGCAACAAATAATGCTCCAATATAAAAATTAATAAAATAAAATATACTTACGTTAAAATTATTTCAAAAACGGATGGAATAATATTTGGTTTATTAAGTATTATCATATTAATTTCCTTTTTCATCTAATTAACAGAAAGTACACTTTTGAAATAACGAGCAGGTAAATTAAGCGAATATGCACGAAACCTCTGTATTTTGTTTTCACAAACTCGAATAATAGCGTCTCAATCGTCAGCATTGCTTTAACGTTATGGGAGGATCTTTAAAAAAAAACTTTAATCTTCATTTCCAATCTTTAAAATAAAAAAAAAATTTGCAAAATAAATTAAAAAAGAGTAAAGTTCGTTATATTTGCACATCAGAAATTGATTGACATGTATCATATGATTGTGCTATTCATTTTACGGTAAAAATCCTATGACGTAATTAGTTCATCAGTATTGTATATTGATCTGTGTCGAAAATAACTCAATTACATAATTATATAAAACATAAATTTCTTGTGTAACTTCTTGTCAATCAACGACCATAACGTGATTATTTTCAAAAAAATTTTTTTTTTTTCCTATCAAACTCTTTTGTGATGAAATTTTTTTGAAAGAATCTCTTAATTATCATTATATTATTCAATTTTATTATTCATCAGATAAACTTATTTATTTTAATGTAATAATATAAATATTAAAAATGTTAAATATAAAATTAAATATATACGTAATAAAATTTATAGTTTTTTAAATAATTTCTTACTTTTCCTTTTCTATTAGAAAAAAATACGAATATAAAAAACGTTCAAACTTTAATAATAAGTACAATATAAAAATTAGAAAGTATCACATTAAATATTAAAGAAGTTGTTTTTTAATTGGTTTTATGTACGTTAAGTTTATTAAGTATAATAAATAATGAATGTTACCCACGATTAAAAAGGTTTTGTAACGTTTGTTAATTTAAACAACGGAAAGTAAATTAAGATATAATTTAATGTTCAAATAACAAAATTTTTAGTGCTACATTTCACTTATCAACAAAATTAGTAGACTTTAATAAATTTTAATTATTGGAATGATCTAGGAAACGGAAACCGTTATTAAGTCCGAAGTGCTGTTTAAAGTTTTATTGTTGTACTTCGTCACGTGTCAGACGGACATCTGCAGGACATTGTATCACCTTCGTTACACTTCGGATTGTAGTATGTTGATTGTGATACTGCGATGTATCACAATTATGTCAATGACAATTTTGGTTGAAATAATTCCTTTTTTATCTTCATTGAATATAAATATAAAAGTAACGCCAATTTTTTTTTTTTTTTTTCGAACGTAAAATTCTTTTTTCGCAAATTTGAAGCAAAATACTAACAAAACATAAATTTAAAAATGAATTTTATTAATGAAAACGAAGTCGTAACTGAATTTAATGAATTAAATATTTCTGATAAAAATCCAAATTCATCAAAAATTAATCATGAAAATTGTGATGACCCAAATGATGAAAAATTTTGGTGTAAAGAATGTGTTCCTCGTTGCATAATTGAAGGATGGACCAGTGGAAATGATGATATTGATAATCTTATCAAGGATACGATTTATGATGCACGTGAGAAATATATTGGTAATGATGAATTTGGCCCATCATTTCTTGAATGGGTTCCATTTGATAGATTTGAAGATATGAAACAAATAGGTGAAGGTGGATTTGCAAAAGTGTATTCTGCAACTTGGATTGATGGTGATGCAAAATACATTAAACAAGATGATGGAAATTGGATAAAAGAAGAACCTGAATCCATGAAAGTTGCCTTGAAAAGGCTAAATGGATCACAGAATATGTCAGCTGATTATTTAAATGAGGTATATTTTCATTTATATTTTATATTTTTTAATTTTTTTGAAAATATTAATTTGATTTAATTTAATTAATAGCTTAAAACGCATTGGAAATTAAATTGTTTACAAGATGATTCTTTAAAATTTTATGGAATATCTAAAGACCCAGAAACTGAAGAAATTATAATGATCATGCAATATGCAGATGGTGGAAATTTGAGAAATATTCTTTCAAGTAATTTTAAAAAAACTTTATGGAATGGGAAAATTAGATATTTATCGGATTCAGCATTTGACCTTAAAAATTTACATGAATTAGGATATTTTCATAAAGATTTTCATAGTGGAAATATATTAAGTATTGGCGTTAATTCTTATATTTCAGATTTTGGATTATCTAGACCATCAAATGAACAGAAATCATCAGATAGTAATAAAATAGTTGGTGTGTTGCCATATATTGCTCCAGAAGTTTTAAATGGAGAACCATATACATTATCTTCTGACATTTATAGCTTTGGTGTAGTTATGGCTGAATTATCATCTGGAAAACCTCCTTTTTATAAAAGAAAACATGATGGTGGCTTAGCATTAGAAATATGTAATGGACTCAGACCAGAATTTGGAAAAGGAACTCCTGAAATTTATAAGAAATTAGCTCATAGATGTATGAATGCTAATCCAAATCAAAGACCAACAGCCAATGAATTACACGAAATATTAATTTGTTGGAATAATTATAGTGATAATGAAAAATATGGTTATAAAGGAGAAGTAGTTAAAGCTGTATTTGAAGAAGCTGATAAAGAAATACCAAATATTTCAACCTCAAATGAAAAAAAACCTGATGCTATTTATACTAGTAGAGCATTTACATTCAGTAATTTGTCAAAACCTATTAATTCATCTTTTATTGCTACTACATATCTTAATGAAGAAGATAATGAAGGTATTACATTTTACTATATTATATTTTTTAAATTTTATTAAATAATTAAAACTTATTTAATTTGATAGGTTGTCAAGATTCTCAATTAATTAACTTAGAAGTTCCTAGCACATCAAGGTTAGAAGGTAAATATAATCTATTATATATTCGTGATATTATTTTTATGATGTAAAATTAAAACTAATTCACCAATGTTTTATTTTAAACTTTAAATAACAGATGGTGATAGTATTAACTAAATAATTTTCACTGTAAATTATTTCTAAAGAATCAATATATATATGTATATTTATTTATTTATTTATTTTATAGTTTAAACTACATTTTTATCATATGATTTTACATAAACTACATTTGAATACGTTCAAATTTTAATAAAAAAATGGAATATTAGCGATTATTGGGATAAGCTACATAATTTTTTTTATTTCAGTAGTGAAGGAAAGGACTGTACTTTTGTGATTGATATACTAGCGTTATGTTAAATTATAAAAGTATAATTTTTTTAGAATAACGAAAAAATAGAAAATTATTAAACTTTATAAACTCATTCATAGTTATGATCAGGTATATTAAAATATTATAACAGGTTAATTTTTTTTATTATTAACTTCGTCTTTTGTTTTCGTGAATGATGTTTGATTCATGATCATTTTATTTTAAAAAAATATTATAACTTGACATATTAATTGAATTTTTTTATGTAATTATTATTTATTTTTAAAACTATCTATTAGCTTTGAACAAATGAATAAAATTTACTTTTATCTTTTTATCTTCAAAATAATCAGTGATATGGATANAAAATACCGAAAACAAATTACAGGAAAATAAAAATTATTAAAATTTTATAAACTCATTCATAGTTATGATCAAGTATATTAAAATATTATAACAGGTTAATTTTTATTATTAACTTCGTCTCTTGTTTTCGTGAATGATGTTTGATTCATGATCATTTTTTTTTAAAAAAATATTAAGATTTTTTATGTAGTTATTATTTATTTTTAAAACTATCTATTAGCTTTGAACAAATGAATAAAATTTACTTTTATCTTTTTATCTTCAAAATAATCAGTGATATGGATAGTTCGGTCAGTTAACATTTATTTTAAAAGCGGTTTTATTTATAACTCAGATCGGTTCTCCCAACATTTCTTTTTTTCGATAGCAATTTTGAACTTAAGAGTTAATTTTGATTTTTATCATTCTTGATCTTAGAATAAATTTAGCACAGAAGAATTCGATACTTTATACTTATTTCTATTATTAATTTTAGATATGATTCAGAAAAAGGAAAGAAGTCTTTGGCAGATTACAAGCATGGCTAAAGCACATATCTTTTATAAATTAAACATAATTATATACACATATTAATAAATTAAACAGAAAAATATTTTAACTAACGTTTCTTTTCTTTTCTTTTAATTTTCTTTTTGTAGGTATCGACTTGTTTGGTATTTATACAAACGCTTTAAACCATAATTTTTTTTTATAGTCGTGATAGTTGTAAATGTTTCTAACTATAATCATGCACGTAATAAAATTTACAACGACTAAAAAAATTATTGTGTGATGCAATTAATATAATATGCAAATTGTTCTTCATACCTGCAATTTAATTTTATATTTTCACATTATATTATTGAATTTATTGAATAAACATCTTTTAATTCGTAGCATATTTGTAAATCATATTTACTAGTGAAGGCCTAATCTTTCAAGATACTGTATCTAAATAATGTTATTTTATATGACAATTGTTAAAATCTTTGTTTTTTCATTAAAGTTTTCATCATCATAAATCATTTTCTATATTCTTTATTTATTTTAACTTAGTAAATGACATTTATTGAATAATTATCTAGTTATGGACTTATGGTAAACGTTTCAATCTCTTCGATCAAATAAGTTCTATTAGTGTGTAAATTATTTTCATAAGCATTGTCGCTATTATTAAGGTGTAAAGTTTGATTGGTCATACATAATGAACCCCATCCAAAATTAAATCCAGCGCGATTAATAATTATAGATTTAGAATAATCTATTACCCGACTTATTTTCATATTTTGTGTGTCTTCTCCATGTTCAAATGAGAAAATAAAGTTATCTGATGAACTATACCATAGATATCCAAATTCAACAAAATAACCATCTCCTATTGAATTAAATCCTATAGAGCTATACCCTCCAAAAATCTTGTTTGAATTTTGAACCTTAATTAAAACTAAACTTGCTACTCGTCCATTACAATAATCTTTAAATGTTTCATTATTAATTCCATCACGACTACCACGATAAATAAGGTCGAACTTATAAACTGGATCATTTATAGTACGTGTATACATGATATCCTTTTTATCAATCCAATTAAATATAATATTTGCAAGATTTGGTTTGATAATGCTTGATTTAATTTTTGTTAGTAAACCTTTTCTAGGTGATAAATTCTTTGGTAAAGTATCTTTATAATAAAATTCTTCAATTTCATCATAAATATCATTAGGAATAATGGCTTTATAAGGTCGAACTTTATCAAAAAAATCTGCTCGCGAAATTTTAACAAATTGAATAAGTGGAATAAATTGATTTAAAGTTTTCTTCAACGCTTGATAATTTTCTTCATTCCACTTTGCCTTATTACTTTCAAGACCGGGGGTTTGTTCAATGCCCCATTTAATTAAATAATCCCAAATGATAATTTCTTCAATAGATAAGTCGTCCCTTTGGAGCAAGCAAAAAAGAATTTCCTTTTTTATTAAAGGAAAAATTTCTGAAGACATAAATGGTAGTGGATCTTTGCAGATAAATTCAAGACAATAATCTCTTAATTTCTTACAATTTTCAAGATTAAATACAGAATGAAGAATGAGATCAACATTTTCATAAATCCAGCTATTTAGTTTTTCGATCAAATAATCTTGAACATATTCGAATAACTCTTCAAGAAGTAATTCATCAGATGCAACTAATAAACCAAGAATGTCTTCACCTGATTGATTAGTCAGATCAAGTTCACCAGTATAAATATATCTAATTAATATTTTAAAATATGTTAATAAATTAAAAATAACATTATATAAAATAAAAAAATTTATGTATCAATCTTTCTTACTTTAAAATCATTTCAAAAACGATTGGAGTAACATTTGGTTTATTAAATATAATCATATTATTTTCTCTTGTTATCCAATTAACGGAAAGTGCAGTTTTGAAATAAGGTGAACGAGCACGTAAAACAATTGAGTGTGCACGAAATTCTTTTGTATTGTTTTCACCAACTTGAATAATAACATTGTAATCATCTGCATCATTTAATATTAAGGAAAAATCCTTTGAAAGATTATGATGAAAAGTTGTTGTCATATTTTTTCCTTTCGGATTTTTTTTTTTTTTTAAAAAAAAAAAATTAAAAAAACGGTTAATAATTTTCTTGTTCAAAAATTCAATTTATAAGGAATAATCACGAGTTTGATATAATGCTATATTTGTATGTCGATCACTTAAAATTAACCAGTGTTAAAATGACAAATTTACAAGTTAAATCATGTGATCTATATAGTATCATTGCCGAAATTAATCGTAAATCAGCCTGAAATGATTTCACAAAAGAATTTGTAAGCAGCGAAAAATTTATTCTAGAATTAGTTGGTTTCACAGGCTTATTCACGTGATAAACTTAGTAGTACAATGCATCTTACATATGGGAATGCTCATTCACTTCCTTTTCGGTTCTAGGTAATCCCAAGGTAATTAAAATTAAGAGCGTCAAATTAAATATATAAAAATAGAATATGTGAAGACATATTAGTTAAAAAAATTGTGAATGACCATACTAATTTGCCATCATTCTTATTTCGAACGGAGGTGTGCTTATACTAAATTTTTTTTTATAGTTTTTTTTATAGTTTCTTTCAGAGAGTTTAGAAATAAATCCAGTTTGATTTTAAATTGTTAAACAGTTTTCAGAACTGATTCAGACCGCTATTTCTTTATCCTAATTATATACACTTTATAGAAATATAAAATTTAAACATTCTATACTGTAAAGTCATTAAATAATGTGATTTTATTAGTATTTATAATTACTAATCTTAATGGCTTCATTTATCCAAAAATAACAAAATAATTTATCATAAAATAATCCTTTACTAATCTTTTTGTATACGAAAAAAGATTTAAAATAGAAGTAATGAACTAAATTAAAAATAATGAAAAGTATTCTGTATATATCATTAAATTGTGAAAATTTTCACTTTATATATTGATATATTGTGTTAACAATACAGAAAAAAATTAAAATTTTTTTTAGATTTATTTTTTACAATCAATTTTGTTTAATATTAAAATTACATACCATACATCATATGATCATAAATCATGTGCTTTGCATTCTACAATTCTTTATATCATATACGTTGTTACATTGTATAAATTATGTTGTATAAACAAACTACATGCCTCTTAAATAATAATAAAAAAACCTATAATAATAAAACAGGTTCTAAAAGGCTAAAAAATGTTGTTTAACAGGTTTAAAACTAATCAAATATCAATTTTCGACTTTGTAAGGGCTTAGCATATATAATAAGGCTATGCTTAGAAATTCTTTCTGGATATTATAACTTTGATTTTGTGGCTGTAGCAATTTTTTTGGCTTTGACATAAATATGTGGCAAAATTCTGTACATCACTAAATTAAACAATCAAAATTTTATTATAAATAAGTCTGTAATTCATAAATTTCATTGTTAAATTCCCCTTATGTTCTCTCAAAAATATTTACTTAGGAATTTTAAATCATTAAAGAAAACAATATATATAATATCATTAATAAATAATATGATAATTTTAACAGATTGAATGCAAAATTTGGTCAAGCTGTATATTCTAAAAAAAATTTACAATATAATTAATTTTTAAACATCCCTTTGAATTTTATTATATTACAATAAACACTATATAGTTAATTATTGGTTTACAATAATCATCAATACCAATAATATAGTATCACTTCAATACAATATTGAACAATATTATATACTTTCTTTTATATAGCAATAAAATATTTAAAGAATGACTACCAATGCTACTCAATAACCCTTCAAATTTTAGTCATACACAAATTAAAATCTTTAATAAACATTATCAAAGTACTGTTGAGAATATTATACCATCACTTACTTTATGTACAGATTCTTCACTTGGAAATTCTTAAGGCTTTAGAACTTATAGTACAAAATAAATTCAGCAACTGTCCAACAAGGATCAATACATTCATATAAAGTTATTAAATATAAGACCAGCTAACTTACAAATTTATTTATTGAATGACTATAATTAAAATATTGAACAGATATTGTCAAAGCAAACTTTTAGATCATATTGAGCATAGTATTCTTTAAAGTCTACTCCATCTATTGTCTCCAACTTAGTCTAATAGCAGATTAATCAAGTTATTCATAGCTAGTCTAAATGTTCAAATAGCTTGATTATTATATGAGTTTAATTTTTTGGATGTCCAAACATAGATGACTATCACTTTGCTATAAGGACACTGCTTCAACTGTTGGAAAAAAAAAACAGAAATAGGATAATTAAACAATTTAAAAACGAGAATAGTTTACCAAATTCAAATTACAAATTTATGATTACTAAAAAGTATAATGACGTTATAAACTTTTTCTTGAGTTTATCACTTTTTACCAAAGGAATATTCATAAGCATATGAGGATAGTTCCATAATATACTGTAGGTCCAGCTAACAATACCAGATTTATTTTAAAATGTAACAGTTTTCAATTATTCATAAGATTTTTTTGAAAATTCAACCTTTGTTCTAAAAATATTGAAAACTGTTATGATTATAAAATAACCAATTTGTTTTAGTTATGGCTTGTGGATAAAGGAAAATTTTTACATAGGCAGATTTGTTACATAATAAGCAAAAATAAGTTATTTTTTACTTAGTAATAAATGTAGAACATTTAAACCAAATCATGCAGCAGTAAATGGATAACCAGGAGTATATTTTGAAGAGGTAATATTAGCACACTGCATAGTACCATTTATGTTTCTTACAATCAATTTAAGTATTTTTGGCAAATATTACAGTGGGAATTCCCCTTAAAACTCACTTCTTTCTCACTTTTTCCCTTTCCTATTATTACTATTTTCTTTATCATTATGCACTTCTCACCTCAGATGATATCCCTATTGCTTTTATTGATACTTCATCTCAAAAACTCTTACGATCTCAACCTTTTCCATCACGTGATGACTGCATTAAGGATTATTACATTCCTTAGAGACTTTATTTTTATTTTATTTCAGAATGATGCTAATAGTAATACTAATAGTAATGCTAATGGAAATGTTACATTGTTACTGCTTGCAATGGACTAGGTTCCTGCTTAATAAATCATCTTGCTGAATTTGAAATAAGTTATGATGCATTCCACTGCACCATCTGCAATCTTCCACTTTCATTAAGAAATGTCATAATTTCAGAAGAAATCATCTCCCTTTTGAAATGGCTCCTTATTATTTGGTAACTCAAAAGCATTTTTGGACATTTAAACATTTGCATACACTTTGAATCTTGTATAACAAAATAGGGGTACAGTGTGTATCCACATGTATCCTAAAATGAAGTTAAAAAAAATTTAATTTTTTGCATATCTAGGATTGGTTTCTCAAGCACCAAGAGGTCATTACAATATAATTAAACAAAGAAAATAGAAAAAAAATCAACCTGTTTAATTTCATAAATTAAACAAAGAATGGGAAAATTTTTATGAATTAATTTAACTGAAAATAGTTTTCCTTTAGTGATGGAAGTTTATAAAGATGAGTCAAAATTGGGAATGCAAAATTTATTATGGATGATTGAAATTTTAGCAAGATAATGACCCAAAGCACATTTCTTCCTGATGGTTCATTGCGGATTAGTGAAATAATTTATAAATGTAATGACCGTTGGCATGTTCATAATGTAAAGCTTTCATACCTAAGTAACATGAATTTTGAAGTTTGTCACAATTATACTTATAATATTCTTTCTAAAAAATTATCAATAATCTCAACAATCATCTCATCATCAACAATCACCTTTTTCCTCTATATCCATTTTCTCACCATTCTCATCGGGAGCTACCTTTTCGCCATCATCATAATTATTTTTTTATGCTCATTGAATATTTTATAAATAATATATGATTAATTAAATCAAATAAAACACAGCTTGAATCAGAATTCAATTTATAACCTCCAATTCTATTAGCAATAGTCAAGATTACATCTGATATAATTCAAATGCATGATAATATTTTAATAGGATAAATTCAACTCAAAGTCAACAAATAACCTTTAGTAATATTATCTGCTTCAAAGTTAGGGAATAATAGAGGTAGAACTTAATTATAATGCATCTTCATTCATGAATTTTATTTTATTCTGCAATATTTTTTGCCCATAATGATATTGATGATTCTTTATGACCTATTTTAATTATTGTTGGTGCATCTTTAATTGAAAGAATAAATATTGTGACATCCATATATAATATATAGTTGAAATGTGTTCATCTTAACATAAAGTAGTAATTGAAATTATTGGAGATGCATTCAATGAACTTTCATGCTAGTATTTATAGTCCTTGAAAGGATGCTCCAATACAAATTATTGATCTATTCTTGTTGCTAATTTGTTAAAAAGTAGACAGTTTATTTATTTTAGCAATAAGATGTGATAATGAACATAGACACTATATTAGATAAATTATCTTAAAAAATATATTAATTTTGATCCAAATAACAAACATATTAGATGTTTAGCTCATATTATCAATTTAGCAGCTAAAAAAGCACTTGAAAATCTTTATGAATTTAATAATGATTTTTTAATGAAGACAGTATAAAAGTTGGATTTAGTAACCTTGAATTGTTGAATGTAACCAATTCTTTCAGTTACATATCAAAGTTTACACACCTCACAATTGAAATCAATGGCCCATTTTTATGCATTAAAGAATTGTAGAATGACTAAAATCTGTTATTTAGAAAGTGAGAAAATTGTTGCAGGAGTAATAAAAGTGTTTCTTGAATAGGCCACCTAAAGACATGTTATTCATACTGCCAGAGTATTTTCAATTAATTAATTTATTAATTCATTATTTTTTCAAATTATACATATTACATTGCATAATTTCAACTTCATATTTGAAATAATGCAAGTTTTAAGATAAAGCAAAGTTATCAAACTCAATACTTGTATTAAGAAGCTTTACCATTTCATTTATTAAGTGGAAATTAATTTATTTATCAATATTTTATATTTTTTTACAACAAAAAGTTTTAAAATTAATAATTTTCCAAATTTCAATCAAAAGCAGCATCAACACAGCCATATTTTATTTAAATTTAAAAGAAATATGGTAAAGTGAAATACATCTGTATTTATTGTATATATTGAATATATATTAATAGACCAGTTTTATAGAATCAAGTAACAACACAATATTAAAAAATTCTAATCATAATTTATTTGGGATGGCTCTTAAGAGCTGATTCACAAATAATTTCTAAGCTTGAAGTACTCCTCACTAGTTAAAAAAGTCTCAAAACCTGTCTTTTGGGTATAGAAAAAAAGTTGAACGATGATAACAAAAAAAATAATACAATAGATCCAGATTATATAAAGGTAATAAAAGATAAATATTATTTAATGTAAAACTGAAATACTAACCTCGTTTGATTAGGAGCTCGTTAAAAGGGTCGTAAAAATATTATTTGAAAAATCCATATATCCTTCACAAGACGAATACAGATTCAATTCAATGATAACCTATATCTGAAATCTTCTATTAAAATAACATCAATAATATTTATTGGAAATGTTTTCTATTGTATTACATATTTATTATTATATACTATTTTTACCTTAATTTAAAATAATTATATTTCAATAACTACAATTTCTGCATAATGTTTTTTTACTTTATATAAAATAAAACATATAGAATCAACAAATTATATACTGTATTCCATAAAACAGGTTTGCACATTGTGCAAGAAAAATTGTAGATGAATTACTTGCAAATGTATTACCTTTCTTTATTAGAACAGGAGATTCATTTTTGAGAAAAAAGGAATACCAACTTAATACCATTGTTCAAAATTTTAGTCTTCCACAAATATTTTATATATGGAAACATCTACATGAAATACTAAAAAAAATGATAATAATGATCCACTTTCTAGTAATCATTCTTTTTATACTTATCACCATTATACTATAGATTACAATTATTACATGAAATAATTTCATTAATTATATTACTTTACAAAATTATTTTAGATAATCATAATAATTAGTACTACATATTAGTATACTTACTAACTTACATATTTGTTAGAACTAAGAATCTGCAAATCAGAGCAAGGAGCCAGTTCTTGCAAGGATGCCATTATTATAAATTATGTATCCCTTGGATTTGGAAACTTTTTAGTTTGTAAAATTGAGGATTTTCTCTACAATATGATAGATTCAGTTTGTGATTCCTATAGCCATTATCATGTATTATAAGAATGTATTGTATTATATTAACTTCAGAACTGGACTGAATTTTGAACTCCTCAAGGTTAAATTTAGTTTTAATTATTTCCCAAAAATATTTATCCTTATTGTAAATTATTTGTGAAAGATAAAGATTTTTTTTCATTTCATATCTTGTAAGTAGTCTTTGTTTGAAGTGATAACATGTTTTTTTACAATTTTATTATTTTGATCTTTTCAAAAGACCTTTCCATAATATTATTGCAAATCAAATTAGTGAAAATTACAATATGAAAGTAATTCCATACAAATTTGGTCATTTTACATACTTGTTCACCTTATTTCAAAAAGTACTATTTTTTCTAATTGGATTATAAATGATTATACTTAATAAATTGAATGTTACTACAATGTTTTTTGATAATATTAACAAGATTTATGAATTTTGATCTGGTTAGTAGTTTAATTTAATTGTTTTATATTTCAATAATATATCACAATTGTTACATGTATAAAATTTACCATTTTGGAAAAATAAAAGATCTTTTATGGTGAATATGCATCTAATAAAGGTATTTTAAAAATATTGGTTTTAGATATTCAACATTTTTTTTTTTTTTTTTTTAAAAAAAA